AAAAAAAAAAAGAAAAAAAAAAAAGAAGAAAATACCGGCGAATTTGTGTCTGTCTTTGATCCAGGCGATGAGACACCTCCCTTCATTGCGGTGTACATACACCACAATACCTAGCTGTGTATTTTCTTTTTCTTTATTATAATTTATATTATTTATATTATTTATATTATTTATATTATTTATATTTATATTTATATTATTTATATTTGTGTAGCTATCGTTTTGGTTTATAAATAGATTTATATTTTGTTTGTCTCCCATAATAAGCGAAATACAATCAAAGAGAGAAAATAATTTATATAAAGCTGTCTCCTTTTCTGTCTCCTCATCTGTCTCCTCTTCTGTCTCCTCATCTGTCTCCTCCTCTGTCTCCTCCTCTGTCTCTTCTTTTTCTTTTTCTTTTTCTGTTTCTTCTTTTTTTTCTGTCTCCTCTTTATCTTTATCTTTATCTATATCTGTCTCTTCTTTTTTTTCTCTTTCTCTTTCTATCTCTGTCTCTGTTTCTGTTTCTGTCTCTGTTTCTGTCTCTGTTTCTGTCTCTGTTTCTGTCTCCTCTTTGTCTCCTTCTGCCCATCGCCCAAAAGAAAAAACTAAATATAAAAAAGAAGAGACAGTAAACAAATCAACTTCTCCATTAAAACTAAAAATAAAACGAACTAATTCTTCTGCTGCTTCTCTCAGTGTATGGCTGCTAGCATCTATTGGTGCTACTGCTGCTGCTGCTGCTGCTGCTGCTGCTCCTGCTGCTGTTCCTCCTGCTGCTCCTGCTGCTTCTCCTGCTGCTGGAGCTGCTCCTCCTGCTGCTGCTGCTTCTCCTGCTGCTGCTCCTGCTGCTGGTGCTGCTGCTGCTGGTGCTGCAGCAGCAGCAGCAGCAGCAGCAGCTGCTGCTGCAGGTCCCCGACCCCTAAGAAGAACAGGTGAACGCCTAGAAGGCTGCTGCAGCAGATGTGTTGCTGCTGCTGTTTCTATCATAAAGCGCAGCAGCAGCGGCATTGATGCTTTTGCTGCTTGGTAAGCCCCATATCTAGAAAAAATAGAGACAGGGGTGTAT